GAATACTAAGAAAGGCTTTGCAATGGTTGCTGCTGTTTACGACTTAGCACTGAACTCTCAAAGTGTTCTCATTTTCATTTTGAGACTCTTGTGTTGGAGAAAGCACGAGGTGAAAGGACAGTGAACGGACTGACCCTCTAAAGAGACGGTTAATTGCCTTGGCTTTTTCTTCTCTGCATGAACACCTCAATCAAGAACATGATCCATATGCAAAGGCTTTATTTGTGATTCATTCACTTAGTATGTCCTGACAAAGTTTTGTCTCTGGGCTTCACATGCAGCAGTGTTAAGAAGAAATAACAATGAAAAGGTTGAGTATAAGATTACAGAGGGAGCAAGAGAAGCTGGATGAAGCTGTGTGTCGTAACTGTCCAGAAGCTTTTCCTGATGATTTAAGCCAGTGATTGATTCTGCCCATCAAGTGACTTGACTTTTGTATTGACTTTGAAGGCAGTTTGCAGTTCTCTACACCTGACAGACAGCCCTGTTCATTTAATTGGACAGTCCTTCTGTCATTACCAGGGGTTCATCATCGCTGCAGATGTTACAGTTACTAATGAGTAGCTGGGCTCACTTTATGAGGTTAAAGTTGAACCCTTCAGCTCCCTCATCTTGCTCAGCACCTTCATCCAGCCACACCCCTTCTTGAAGCACACAGGGTCAACTTTAATATGCTGCAAGGTTCTTTGTGGATGTGAGCATTGGTGTGTATGCATCTGCGGAGAGGGCACATGTGTAGCGCTTTCAGATCAGGTCAAATTTTATTTGACCTTGACCACCTGCTTTGTCAGCATACATGATAGAAAGAAATAATACACACAAAATAAAAGTGCTGTCACGTTCTAACTCATAGCACTGTATCCAAAGGCACTCATTTTCATTTTTTAAACATGTCCAGCTTGGCTAACTGCCAATTTAGCTGTCCTTTTCCTTCCATCTCCACACACTTTGCCCTGTAGTTAAGCAGGGAAGATATCCAACTCACCTCTCACTTCACGTGGAAGCAGTAATCACATGTTCTGGCCTGTACATCCGTAATCAAGTAAAAGTTTCTCAAGCCCTTTGAAAAGACAGAATAAAAGATTTGTAGGCGGTGAACCAAAGGACATTTCATATTGTAATCCTTACATCAACATCTTTTGTAACTGATCTTTTGATCGTAGGCTCTCTCTGGCAGAAGACTTGACTTTAACTGCAGCAGTGAATCAGTATTCCAAGACTTAAGCCTGAGGGCAAGGTGACATTACCAAAGATCTCTCTCAGCTCACTCCTTGAACAATATTGTTTCGTCAAATAGGGTTTTAGTTAACTAGGTTAAAGTGATTCTGATCCATGGATGCCTCAGGTTTATATCTGCTCATGTGGTCTGTTGGGCTGTAAAAACAGTTCTCACTTATCTTTTGGGTTGATCGTTTCTGCCTATTTTCAAACGTGATGGCTCTTCAGGTACTGTCAAATCTCCCAAACTTTGGCCAAAAAATGGAAATGGATATGATGTAAGGAACAGTCTTTACAGCTGCAGAATCATGGAGAATCACCTTCTCTTAATGGACTTTCAAGTCTTTTTTGAATGACTTGAATCTTGGCTAAAGGATATTCAAACTTGCTTTAGGAATATTCAAATAAAAAAAATGTAGGCATTGAAGACATTAGACAACAACTAGAGCTGTTTGGTAATGTTCTTCTATTATCTTTTAACAGCGTGTGATTACCTTACTGGTGTTCGAAAAGCCCACATTTCCACACAAAAACCTGCCAAAACCTGTTAATCTCTGTGTGGTTCCACTGACTCAGTGAGGCCTCCTCTGGAGAAAAACACAGGGATGTTTATTACCAAATCCAGGCAGTGAAACAATGAGGCACAGTGATGAAAGTGCAAGATTAACACAGTATCACAACACCAAAATGGATCGGTTGGAGGGCGTACTGCGAAAGAGGTCCCAGGACCACATACTAGCTGTTGGCCTCAGAGATATCACAGCACAATTGGCTTGTTCTGGTAGAATGAATCATCATGGCATCTTGAGAGTTAACAGCATCCCACATCTTTGTTTTTTTGCAGGTCATGAGCGGTACAGTCCGACGGATCAATCTAAGCACCGATCCAGACACCCCCTACTTCCTGCGAGTGGACTGGGCCGTAGACCTGGGTGCTGGTTTCACATTAGCGCTCACTGATGGCAACTCAGCATGGATTGGAGAAGGTAAATTTTCAGAGAAATTATAAAAACACATTGATATTTAAAGACTATGAATGTAAGAATAGAAGTACGCTTGTACTTGTGCATGCACATGGGAACATTCGTTCTGGTAAAGTTGGATCCAAATTAATTTGATCAGTCTGCATAAAAAGAAAAGGTTCTAATGTCAATATTAAAGGACCTAAAGTAAATTCCAAAGCAGATCCATACTAGTCCCAGTACTTCTCAGATTTAACCCTAATAGGGGTCTTTGCTCTTTGACAGTTTTCCTCAAATAAGATTTCTTCTGTGACCTTTATTGTGTTTTTCAAAATAGTTAACACCATATAAGGATGTGTTAAATCCTACGTTCAGACTCATAATACATATTGTTAGATTGTTGCAAATCTACAGAACAGCTAAAATAATTCACACTGTTGCAATCTCAGATTAAATGTGTTGTAACTGAACCCAAATCTATACTATAACTAGACAGGGTCACCAGGTCTATTACTCTTCTGAGACTCTCCATATGTAGGCACCTGGCTGAACCTCATCTCATTATGTGGAAACTGTTGGTCCTTTAACCAGAGGGACAGCAGTGACCTTGTTTCATCGTGGCTCTTCACTATTGTGCTACAGCTTACAGGTGTATAAAGTAGATTAAACTCTACAAGGTTGTCTTTGTGTGCGCTTGTGTGTGTGTGTGTGTGTGTGTGTGTGTGTGTGTGTGTCTGTTATGCCAAGAGCACATTTTCCCTGGAAGGACACCTGGAACATAAATGCTCCCTAGTTTTCTATTGCTGTCCATCTGCACAGTTGACAGGCAGAGATGAGGTTGTGACAGCTATGTGCGGGCTTCTGGGTTGTCAGTGTTTCTGTGTTTGATGTGCTAATTGGGACCCTCAACCTCATGTTAGCAGCTGTGCAACAGCTGATGACATTCCCCTTTGGTTTTTCTGCATGCTTCCTTTTAAATCAGCCGTCATGTGCATCCACACATTGCTACATAATTAATGTTTATCGTTTTTGTTCTAGTGTCTGCTATCACCACTTTACCCACTGTCAGGTTTCTCTCAACTATGTGACTTTAAAATGCCAAAATGCCAAAAAAAAAGCCTTCTTTGTGTCCAGTTTCAGAAGACGAGGTGACAAAAGAGGCCAAAGATATGGAAGTCACACGAGGAAAATATGTTGAGGACCTTCTTCGAGCACTAACAGGAGGTGAAGAGGGGAGAGGATCAGGAAGGAGAGGGGGCGACAAGAACGTGTATTCTTTCCAACTCACACCAGACCACTGCCAGCTGTCGTATCAGAAGATCTGTAATGACATCTCGGTGAGCAATGGCTTTGTGTGGATTTTAGTTTTATTTTATGGCTTAAATGCATACACAAGCAGGAAACTTGAAAGCTGTCTTCAGTAGAAAATGTCTCCTCTAATAATTTAAAATGGAAATAAAAAAAGTTGATCCCGGCACACTTTTAGTGCAGGGCGTTCAAGACATTTAAGTACATCTCTGCAACTTTAAATCCATATTGTTAACTTGTTGTGACATGAATATTATAATGTTCACAGTTGCAGTTGACAAAACTCATTATTTTGCTCTTCAAAGCACACAGATTCTCTAGATTTTTGTCCTTATCTCACCAGTACCTGAAGCACATTAACATATAGGGTTGTTGGCAAAAAACAAACAAACAATGAACAATCAACCCTCAGTCATCATTGTTCAGGGACAATACACAAATAAATCTGTTTAAACAAATTCCTCTCTTACTTGGTTAGTTTTTAAACCAAAATGCTGAGGATTCTATTGAAGGTGGTTTAAGAAAGTTGTCTGTAAAGATGTGTCAGTTGTTCTTGGATGTCACAACTCGTTCTCTTCACTCTTGTCACTGTTCCCTCAGGAGGAATGCATCTAACGACGTATAACCAAATAGAAAGGAAGTGTTATGTTTTACGGGGGGGGCTGTTTAAAAGATAAGGTTTATAGTCTTCCCACATTATGGTAAAATTAGAAAGGCTTGGTTGCCTTTAGGCCGCTATGGAAAAAAGCCACAGATAGGGATCATTTGTAACCAGTCGTCCCAGAGCGACAGTATAAGGTAGTCGTCTAATGACCACAGCTCGTAAATACTATAGGAAAAAGTTTTCGTTAAAGGTTAGGGGGAGATAGTCTGCGTTAATGTAAACAATCAAATCCTCTCATAAACACACATGTTTAACACAACTGTCACTGACAAAGAAAAACTGAAAACGCTAAAGGAGATTCTTACATAGTTCACCAGAGCTGACAGGTTTGATGGAGTATAGGCCATGGTGCTCCAGGGAGCAGGTCACTTGGGGTCCCGGGACTGCTGTGCAGGTAGAGGAGACCAGAGGGAGAAGGCCAGGGGGTTAGGAACACTTTGGAGACTATAAAACTAGATTTATGGACAGGGCCATCCCCATCTAACAATGTTAAACAACAGCTGATTAGAGCCTTTTTCCTTTCGTACCCTGACTCCCTCTGGTTTTCTGTTGTCTCTGTGAGTGCTTGCTGTTTATACAAGTGTGCCTATGTGTGCATGTGTCAGTGTCAGGACATGTGCAGACGTACCATATGTTTGAGGAAGCTTTTTTTGGGGTTACTTAATGATTATTTCAACAGAATCTGACTTTGTTTTATGTTACCAAATCTCATGTTTCAGTAATGTCATTTTCACATCAGGTATAGATGATTTGACTAAAAGTTGTAGACACATGTGACGGTGGTAGTGGGCTTTTTTATGTTTGGAATGTGGAAAAGCTGTAGCCTGAGGGAGCAACTAGTCCACACATAATGATTGACAGCGGTCCAACTATCTATGTCCGGGCCCAAGTTTTCCTCTGAAAAACACAATCAATACACACACGGCTGCTGACAGTATTCATCAGTGTGCGCCACTATGTGTGTGGTAGAAAAGAAATCTAAGAATCCCCGAGGAATATTTGCATGAAGTGCAAACTACCACTCTTGTCTAACACCTGCTTCTTTTCTTTTCACCTCCTTTTTTTTCTTACGGGTTCACTTTTTTTTTCCCCAACACGTCACAGAGGTTAAAATGTGGCACATATTTTCCCAGCCAGATAATTTGAGGGTTCAGAAATGAGCAAAAATGAGGCGAGTTTCCTCTTGGAGGAGAAGAAAGGAGGCTGGAGAAAAAACAGGTGTTGAACTTAACCTGACATTAATATTTTATGAATATGACCCTAGAAGTTGTAATGATGAATGTAATTTGGATGTTAGTTGTAAAAGTACTACTAAGCAGGTGTTTTACGTGGCTAAGTCAGACATTGTCTCCTCCTTAATGACTGTTTAAGAACCAATCTGTCATTGCTGGAAAAAGCATTATTTCAGTTCTCACATGTGCTAGTAAAGACACTCTTTGTTACGGCAGAAGTAAAAGGAACAGATACTGCATGTCTGCCGATTATTCTCTTACTATTAAGGTCATGGAAATTATATCAATTCATCGTTTAATAATTTGTAAAAAAAATGTTTTAATTCTTATCACGAATTCCCTGAATCCAAAGTGAAATTCTTCTCTTGACCAACCAATCCAACTTTTAATTTTAACCTTTTTATTATGTTTCATGATAATTATGTCACAAAATGTACATTGGATTAAATGTGAGTTCATCTCTTTGCCACAATAATAAGTGCGACATATTGCACAGCCTGACTTCATATTTTCTCTCGACTCTTTATTCAATGTCAAAAATAAAGAAAAGCAACAAATAAAGAAGCTAGATTCAGGCTGTTTTTGACATGAGAGTGTATTTTCTTTCGATCAGCTAATAGACTAACTGTCACAGTCTCTTTAGGACGACCTCCAGTTCACTCACAGCATTCAAACTATGTGCCACTAACTAACTGGTTACCTGGCTTTAATGAAGACTTATATCAGTGAACTGATAACTCAAGTTAAAAACACATTTGTACTATACTTACAGGTGCACTATGCAGATTTGGTATTGCAATTTGAAAGTTGGAGAAGTGAAGCAATTCTTTGCTATATTTTCTGGACTAAATACACAAACTTTATTCAAAGGACAAAATGGGTCCCTGGAACAAAGTTTGGAGCTAAAAAGCTACCAGGAGAGTTACGATTTCACTGTTGGGGGCGAACCACCTTCACTTCTTGAGTAGCATTTTATCTTCAAAAAGTGTTCCAAGGACCAAATTCTCCTCTTAGGACAGTTTGTGTTTATAGTTATGAACATATACCACAGAATCTGTAATTTTTCCAACTTTTACATTTCTCTACCAAAACTCCATAGTGCACCTTTAACCTTCAGCCAAAGTCATTTCAATACATGGCTTTGTTGCATCTCTTGCTCTTTATGAAACAATCCATTCCTTTTTTCCATAAACAATGAAGTGCTGTGACAGGCTGCATGATAGTCACACAAACGTGTGATCAGTTATCCAGCCGTCAGTCCCCCAACATGCCCCCCCCCCGATAATGAATTATGACGGGTTTAACCAGACCTTTCTCCAGCACTCGTTCAGGAAAGTGTAGTGAAAGGCCTGTCTCGATGCGATTGGTTATTCAGATCCTTCACGACACTTCTATACCAAATGTCAGTTTTCTTTAAGTAGCCCTCAGAGCTTAGTTCTGTCTTCAGACCAGAGAGATTTGGACTCTGATTCTTGACAGTTGTGGTAAATGAAACCGCGGGATCCTGGCTGAGACTGGCTGGATGAATGTAACACTGATTGTTTCCACTTTTTGTGTTGCCAAAAAGAACGAGTGTAACGGTTCACTGGGGATTTCAGCTGTGCAGTATGACGCCAGCAACAAATTTCACTGGAGTAGTCCATGTTTTCTCATTCAGATTGAATCATCCCAAAATGTGAAGCGTGAAATTATACAATATGTGCAAACACAAATATTTGCAAATCATGCTCATGATAATTTTAAGCTAAGCACTATAAATGAAATGCAATATAACAAATGGCAAATCAGAATGTTGACTGAAGGCAAAAACACAGCAGTTGAAATGCGGCCAGCACACTAATTGCTGACCTACGCATGTCTGTACTTATTGCTTTTATAATTCATTGGCTTGTTTTTGTGTCCCCTCTTCAAATGTAAGCAGATTTATCTCCTTATTTTTGGTTGAGGTTCATCATTCTTGTCCACATTTATGCCATTAGGCAGCTTTTTCTCCATGTGTGGTGGTAAAGCTTTTCTTGCCAGTGTGTCCTCAATGAAACATAATCAACCCATGTCGAGCTTTGAAGTACTTCAAAAGTACTGCTCTGTTTATTGTGATTTTTAAATTTATGTTGGAAAAGAATAATGGTGGTAAATGACAAGAGATACATTCAGTACATTTTTGTTTGATGAGTTAATGAATGTTCAGCCATGGACTCTTAATCAATGTGCTGACTAATGGTCACAAGCAATACAGTGTATGGGTTGTGTTGTGGATTTTTCTGTTGGTAATGAAAGATCTCAAGTCAAAGTCTTTTGTCTTTGTGTATTTTATTGCATATAGTAAAAAGTTATTTTGCAAAAGGGGAAATCAGAGCATATTTATACTTTCACAGGGTGTAGGTATTTTGCATATACATGAGTGATACATCGTCATTGGTTTCAGCTTGCCCTAGTGACTACGCCTTCTGCTAGTTTGCCCGGTGATTTATCTATGCAAGCTTCTTTCTATAAGGTACCTTGTACGGAGGAACACCAACAGAAACTCCTTTGTCAGGAGGGCACTGATTTAGGGTCATGCTGTACCCAGATCCTGAGGAGTGTTTATTTGTCAAGCTCAACAGACACTTACATTGTTGCAGGCACGTGCAAACTTACATTTGAACAATTTTGTACATATTACTTTCATTTCAGCAGAAATATCACTGAAGGACTATAGTTTTACCTTTAATTTAACTGCTTTTTTTGTATATGTTCACAATAACGAGTAAAATTATAAAACACACAATTTTACATTTTACTTTGGTATTTGGAAAGCACGTCCTGACCCCCACTTTGGGAATCATTGTGTTAAAGGATTGAAATGATTAATTATTTATTCAAATACCTTTTAGATATTACATTGTCAACTAAAAATGTATGCACTTACAAAATATGCCCCCCCCCCCCACCGACCAGATAAAGGCACACATCTTTAGTATTTAATTGATTAGTTAATGTTAGCAGTGTCCATGTTTTGTCAGCCCCAAACAGAAGTGGCCGACTATATAATGTAAATGATGCAAATGTTGGATCCAGTGTGGAACAAAATCGGTTAAATACATTTCAGATAAAGCTGCTATCATACAACCTTTGAGGGAGAAATGACAGAAGTTAGTAACTTGTTTGCATTTAATTTGCTGTTATCATTAAGTTTTTCTTCTCTCAGTGTCTGGAAAATACTTGCACGACTGGCTACCAGATTTGAATCCTGACTGCATTTAAGCTTCAAATACACCAACGCATCTCTCCACCACAAAGTAGTCATTTACTGAACTTAGGTTTGCCACCTGATTTTTACTATAATCAGTTATCTTAATAATATCTTCCTGCCTTGTAACATACATCTCTGAACTCAAGGTTCAATCAGCTGATCCAAAAGTGTCTCTCCCCCCCCCATCTGCACTCTACTTGGTACTGTGCAATAGCATTCCTTATGTGTATGGGAACATGGATGTTATTGGAGAGACTCACTGATGTCGCCTCTCACTTCCGGTTCTTTATCTGGCCTCACGCCTCTGCACGGCAGACCTGGAAGCTGATGCCACAATTTGATCTTTGCACAGTGCCCACACTTCTCATACTCAGTGACCTTGCCTGGCCTTGAACACTGTCTCTTTGTCATCATGCACACACTCCTCATCCACCCACTTCCCTGGGCCCAAAGACACAATAATGAATTTGAAATACAAAAAGGAAAGAGAAAAGACTGACCTTACCTGAAATAGTTTGAATATAAAAATCTTGAGCTTGACTTAATGTGTGGACGAGGTAAATAAATGTGCAAGGAATCTCTAAGCTTTAATTTAAATCATGCTGAGTTACTATTATATTACTGAATATCAGTTGTCGTAAAATGGGGCTCATTGTCTCTTATTCAGTGGAATAAATAGTGGGTTTGGTCTACAGCGATGTGTTGGACAGAGTGATAAGGAAGGCTTTGTGCCCTCAGTGCCCAAAGTTTGTTGTGGTGGAACTGGGACTGTGTTCTTTTGGCCTTGTCCTCCACACCTACATTCCCTCTTCTGCATGGGGCTGACCTTATGGTCTGGTTGGCTGTCTGGAGACAGGCACACAAACAAACATTTAGACCACACACATGCACATCAACTCATGTTTGAAAGTCCAAATAATCTATCCTGATTATCCTGAAACCAAGATTTTAAACCCTCTATCTCACTTCTTAATGATACTACACGATGTCGTATCCCAGTACAGTATGTTTCATCCCAAAGGTGACCTTTCAGAGCTGTGTGAACTCATTGACCTTATATCAGAAGACAAAGAGATGAAGGATGCATCTCATCTCCTTTAGATGTTTTCTGCCTCTTTTTGTCCTCTCATGCCGTTTCAGCTGCCTTCATGTTATTGCCATAGATGAGCCAACCTTTTCACATCATTGTTTGCTATCTGAAGCCAAAGAAAAAAAGCTATAAACAATTTGCTTATTTGATTTCCTTTTTAGTCAAGTTACACAGCAGAAAAATGTGGAAGTGGGTTGTGGATCACAGACAAACAGTCTGACCTCCCACACCTTGGCAGAAGCTGGCAACAGTTTGGAGGCTGACCTTTCACTTTATCTCCGAGTCTCAGGGGAGAAACAGAAGCTCCAGAAAATAAACTGAACCTTTCAATATTTCTCTTCGTTTTTCAACAAGGAGTTGAATCACTTGAATAGCAATTCCTATTTGAGTACTGGCAGTTAAAAATGAATATGGTGGTCATGTATATTTTCAGATCTTGTTCACTGCCTCCTTCCTATTTCCATGCTGCACAGTAAAATAAAGCTAAACTTTTGGTGATGTGGAATTTGTATGTTTACTACAGTGTAAGTATTCTCATTAACTGTGAAGGTAAAGACACCAATCGTTTGAGCACGAGACATAAACAGCTGCTGAGTGTTGTTTTCCAACATGAAGCCAGTAAATAAGTGTTGTGCTTCTGGCAGCCTACATTTCTGTATCTGTGGATTTGAACTGGTCATAACATGTTAACCCACTGTTCAGGAAGATTCATTATTTTAAACTGTACCAGTGGGTAAAAGCTTCATGACAAAGTCCCAGCTATTACAAGAATACTTTCATTCTTCAAAGTGTGCAAGTATCAGTCAGGTCAGTATGTCGGAGTCTTTAGCCTTCACATGATTTGTTGTTTTTCACATGGGATGATTTATTGCTAAAAGACTTTCCTCTGGAAGACCAGTGGAGATTTAGCACAGGTAGCAGTGGCTTGGAGGAGGAGATCAAAGCTTTCATGATTGGCACACCACCACTATGAAACTATGAAAAGAATGCTGGTGTTGAAGTTGTCATGATGATCAAGCGCAAACATCCATTTTTACTTAAGACTCATTTACTCTAGCTTCACTGCTCTTAATAATGGTGGACTGTCCTGTGCAAACATTTAATGATAGCTATGCCAACTTGAACACGACTTAGGAAGCTCAGTGTCCCTTTAAACCCCTGAGACGAGCCTGCCCTGTATCACTGTGACATACCAATGTTGTTCTCTAGACTTTTACGAGTTCTTAGGAAACTCATCCTCTTTAGATCCCGGGTGGTCTTCTCTGCGTCCTGATGCTGTGAGGTGGACTTTTGTTTAAACCTTTGCAGGTTTTGTTCGCTGACTTCCTTGTTGTGATCAGGCGTGGTGTAATTTGCAGCACTGAAACTGAATAAGCGAGTTACTATGCAAAAAGTTTTTTTTTTACAGCGTTGAATGATGCTAGAGATGTAACGGTGCCTCACAAGACAGTTTCACATCAGTACACAGAAGGAACTATTCAAATCCGTAAAGTGCAAAATTAATCAACTTTATAAACACTTTATGGACACTATTTGCCTTTACCTCTCTTTTTCAAGTTCCCCATGTCCCTTCCATCTTCAGCTGAATAGAGGTTTACATACCACAGATGAAGATTTTAAAGTGGATGATGCACTGCCAGTGTTTCCCACACACAGACAGTACCTGGGTGTCCAATCGCAGTATATGTGGGGACTATTTTACTAAATTACTTTTTTATCCTTGTAAGATTGCCATCCACTATGGATGAACAAATTGCAAATCCCCTGTCTCTCTTTTCCTTGCATATGTTTCACAAGGTGTCACCACACCTTTGCAGGTTACAAAGGAAGAGCTTATGCCTCTCCAGAGGGTCCAAATACATCCAACATTTTTTTTTACTGTTGTTTGTTCTTTTACTTGTTTTCAATTACTCACATCACTTGGCGATCTAGTGGAAGTCCTGATGTGTTTTATCATAAACACGTTTATTATCGAATCAGGAAATACAATCAACTTGGCGTTAGGCAGTAAAAAAGCCAAACTAACGTACAACTTTACAAAACCATGAACCCAGCATCTGCAATCTTATTGCAAGTTGAGCATATCGTTGCATCCAAATGAAGCTGAATGAGGTCATGCTGTTCCAATGGGTAGTGTGTAATTTACAGATTCACTTAATCAGGGTTTAAAACAGACAGGCGGACTAAGGCAGTGAAGCTGTGGGAGTGATGTGAAGTGAACGTCCACTCACTGAAACATGTTCAGGTTCACCAGTAGAGGTAAAAACAGCTGTGTGGCCTGCCAGGACAGAATCAGTCTGGGACAAAAATGACAAGTATTTTATGAGAGCTTTTGAAGATGGCCGCTTTATTACAGTGGGTCTGAGACAGCCCAGTGAAGATTTAGCACCACATTACCTTCTGGTTTCCCAGTGCAACGCGGCAGTACCTGTGTGTGCGTGTGTGTAGGTAAGAGTGTTTCTGTGTTTGCATGGGATAATCCCCATGGCAACAGGCAAACAGAGATTGTCCAGCCATTGGAAATTATGTTTGGTGTGGCAGCGATGATGTGCAAAAACTCACTCCAGGTCTACAGGTGTTACAGTGCTTGGTGTATTTTGTATTTGAATGTAGTTGTTTGCTGTAGAGTTCTTTTCATATTTAAGAATGGGGGGGGCTATGGTGGAATTCAGAAAAAAATGTTAGCCTTGAAGTAAATGTTTAAAAAAAGTCCAAATTTTTGTGTCCATCTCTGCTTACCTCAGCCCTTCACAGGCAGCCAAATAAACCAAGTGAGGAATGTTTTATCACATCTGAAGCCTGCTTGTGATTCCAAAAAGTCACAGACAAGAAGCAACTGAGAGGAAACTATGTGCTCACTTGCATAGTCTACTGGTGACTAATGAATTCATCCTATATTTCTCCTGTTCAGGAGGAAAGTCTCCCATTTCATAGAAAACGTGATGTCATTTAGTGACTCCTCTTTATTGAAGAGCCTTGTAGGATGTTGTGAATGTGCAAATTCATACTCTTTATATTTTATTTTCTACTGTAAACAGCTTTTGAAAAAGGGCTTTGGATTTGAGTTCTCTTGCTCCATTTGTCTGCAGCTCCTGAAGGATCCCCAGGTACTCCTGGGACTGCTGGGAGATGGAGTCTTAAATATTTTTTTCCCCTCCCAGTATGACAAAAATTAAAGAGAGCTACCTAGAGGCTATACTTAATGTGTGTCATGAACCAACTGTCACCTGTCAATGCAGAAGAAGAATGGTTGAATACTGAGGTCATCCCACATCCCACTCATTGCATAGAGGGCTGCTGGTGATCTGCAGTCAAATTGCCAAGTAGGAAGGAGTGCAACTATCAAAGATCCATATTGGGGGTATAAAAACTAATCAATACCCAGATAACCAAGGTCCACTAGTAATTAAAGATTAGTGTTAATTTCCATGATATGTCCCATTAGTTTACATAAGTATATATGATTCTGTGATCACTTAACAGTAATCCTGAGGAAATTAGATAATACTGAGCTAAAAAAAAAAAAAAATTTAAACATTCTTTTGCTGTCCATCACTTGACATTTGATGAATGAGTTAAAAGTTGGATTTTCAAAGATAGCAAGGAAGGGTTTTTTCCTTTCTCTGCTATACTGTGGTGGTTAATGAATAATAAAGCCAGACAATCTGCTGAGAAGATTTTTGTATTGCAATAAACATGCACTGATTCCCATGCCACTGACATTTTACAAGTCCAGCTGATTTAATCTCTCAATATGCATTTTATTTTCTACTTTCCTTCTGCTCCTCCTCTCTTCAGGTGCACTTGGGTTCTGTGGCGCTCCAGCCAGCTCCAGACCCTTTACAGCTGAACCGGGAGATGATTGGCCAGTCCCTAAAGCACAGCAAGGATCTGGAGTCAGACAACTGCCAGCTGCTGGAGGAGAATCATAGACTGAAACAGGAGCACCAGAGAATTCTTAGACAGTAAGAACGCATTGAGGACAGCCGCCCTGTGTATTTGGGAAAGATAATGTGTTGCAGAGCAAATGTCAAGCTCATTCGGAAAAAACCCAGACAGAATCTAATTATTTTCTCAAGATGTTCAGCGCTGATTTTTTTGTTTGTTGTTTGTCTTGTTTGCATGCAAACTCCTTTTGCGTTTAAGTCGTGCTTCCAGCTGTTTATATGCACAGCAGTCACTCAGTATGACATCATCACTGGTTTGAGAGTTTTGAGGGTTCCACCCAGTCTTGAAAAGTCAGCCTGTGATTCTGGGAACTATCATCAGATGCTTAATTCCTAATTCTCTCATTTTATACATCCCTGGTTCTTGACCTCGTTTCAAATTGGATTGTTCATTCATGTCTAATGACTGGTGTTTTGCCAGGGATGAGAATGACTTGTGCCTGTACAGGATGGAGACATCAGCATCAGTCTCATCAATCATTGCTCTCAGAATTAAAACAAACAAGAACCATACACGTTTGAAACATGCGTTGGTCTATATATATATGTGTGTGTTTCAGTGGGAGTCCAATGTATGTCTTGGCACTTGCTGTTGTGATTTTCCCACCAGGCTGAAGAAGCATGTTCAAGATAAGGAGTTGTTGGAAAGGGAGCTGTATTCACGTTTTGTCATGGTGCTGAACGAGAAGAAGGCCAAGATCAGAGGCCTGCAGGATTCTCTGCAGCACCTCCAGCAGGCTGATGACCAGCAGAGAGAGGAGGAGGCGAGACAAAGGTTAGTCGGTCAGCTAGCTTTACAACTTTAATATTCAAGTGGATCAGGGAAATATGTTTTCTTTTTTGGGCCTCATACACAGAATTGGCTTTTATAATGTGTTGTAATTACAGAACTTGTCTGATGAAATGCTACCCGATGTTACCTCAACATATAGACATTTACAGTTTATTCAAGTAGTGTGCTTTCCAACTCATATGATTACATTTTTGAGGCAGCTAAATTAACAAACGGTCCTCTGTACACTGATTTTCTACATGAAATGCTTTGTTCCTTTAGTGATAATGACACAAGTGCTGGTGAAGATGAGAGTCAGGACCGCACAGCCGAGTCACTCCAGAGCATTCATCCGTCTCAGGAGCCCACTATCCTCATCACAGGTTTGGACGTTTAGTGTCTCAGTGCATTTGTTGCTGTTTTTTATTCAGAGGGGTAACACTACTAACAAACCAATTAAAAATACATTATCAGCCTCCTATAGAATGAACAGTTGGGGAAAACAAATGCAAAAAAAAGAAAAAGTTGAGTGTTTTCATCCTGGTCATATGTTGCAACACTAATATCAGTTATAAAAACCAGATCCAAGCATCTTTAATTCTGCAGAGTTTGAAATCAAAGGGTTTCCCCAGGAGGGAAGGCAGGACCCAACAAATGCTCTTCATAAGATAATGAGGAATTGGCAGTAAGCTTTGTATTTGTGAGTTAACCAAACAAATGTGCATGAGTTTGATGGTAGTGTAAGCTTCACATTAGTATTCTTTTGCTGCATATTTAACTTGAGTACATACGGTATTCTACTAACATTCACATGCTCAGTGTTTTGGTGGAGCAGGGAGTGAACGTATTGAATATGGCAAACTTTCGCCCATTCCTGGTACTCGCTGTGACTTCATAGGTCAAGATGTGACTCAGTTTTGATACCCACTCTTAAGTGTAACTCCTGAGTTCTAGCTTTCCTTGAACTGATTTTACTGTCTAATAAAACTGACAGTTGAATGTAATTGATGATGTAAGCAGGGGGTTTTAACATTAACTTTAAAGCACACACAAGCAGAGAGTATACCCTCGGGTGGCCAGGTTCTGGGAAAACACTCATCAGTGAGTCATGAACCCACCCAGAGAAGTCTGCTGCGATTGCTTCAACACAGCTGACCGTGAGGTGGTCTCCCTTCCTGCGTTGTGCAGAGCAGGCGTGATGTCACATCTGCTGAATAATACCCCCCCACCCCGCCCCCCAAACAACACAGCGCTGCAGTCTG